AATATCTCGCCTGGCTTTAGTACATCTGCGTATCAACAGGCGTTCAGAGGTGGAAGTAAGTTTGGCTTTAGGGCATTTGCATATCCTCAGGGGTGGAGAGTTCGTCTCCATGTCAACGGGTAATACCTGGGCAACCGAGGGCTTCTCTGTACCCGAGAGGTTAAGGGGCGCTCCTTGCTTGCCTGCTCCCGCTGGAGCTGGAGAGACGGCCCCCGCCTGCAGCTTGTAAGCAATAAACGGGTTTTAAACTTTCCCTTTGACTGATTTCGGTTTTAGAGGTATTTTACCCCAGGATTTCCTTTCCCCGAACTTACACCGTACCAACTGTAGTTCCTACGCCTGTCTGTACACCTTTTTAAGGAAAATATGTGTACTCGAAGTTCTACAACTTTTTTTTTCATGGACCATTTCAACATTTATCTAGTTCCAAACACTCTCAGCCTATTGCATTGCACAGGTATGAATGCCCATTTATTGCCCCACTTTGTTATTTTACTAAGGAAATCAATATTCTTATCACAGTGTGCGTTGCATCAAGTTTCCATACATGTTTGTTATTGGGCTTTGTTGTGGTAAACACAAAAACTTTCATGTGGTTGAATTTATCGATAATTTTGTGGGTAAAATTGTAACATTTCCAGACTATCTCGCCTGGCTTTGGTGTATTTGCATATCCTCAGGGGCGGAGAGAAGCTCATCTCCATGTCAATAGGTGATTACCTGGGCAACGAGGGCGCGTCTGAACGTGAGAGGTTACGGGGAGGGGCTGGCTGGCCTGCCTGCCCTTCGGGAGCAGGGGAGCGAGATGGTGCTGAACTGCAGTTTGTAAGCAATCAACGGGTTTCTTAAGTGCCTGGAATTGAAAATTATCACCGAGGTGCTCAAGTGGATCCGGCTTTTGAGGGCCCCGTTCCCCAGGCCACCGGATGTCATTGATGCTGGAATCTCGGTTCTCGGTCCTTCGCCCTCTTCTCACTCTACTGGTTCATGGTGGTTAAATTTAGGTGCGTATCAGCAGAGCTCAGTACAGCGTCAACTCCCAAACCCGCATCTCCCTCTCGACCTCACTGCCTATTCAGGGCTTCACTCGGTCTAATGGGCAGCACAGACATGCACGTTCAAAATTGCTGATGTTTTTATTTGCAACTCCATTTGCCTGTAACTCGTGCCTGAGAAGTGCCCTTGCTCTTGATCCTTTTCATCATCGTATCCAATCCAACCAGACCAGAGAGGAAGAATAATGGCTGACTTTGTAGTACTGCAGACTAACTTTGACCCTCACACTGAACCAGTCTAAAATGTTGGTGCTCCCAGACCTCAGAAACAGCCCCAGATCCCGTGGTATGAAAATGAGCAACACCCTGTAAAAAAAGATGACCTCCAGAAATAACTAGAATCTAGCCTGAGGATCTGACCACAGGAGCAAATGAGTTTTTCAGTGTGAGCTGGGAGAAAACTGGATGACTTTTAATTACTTTGATCTAGGAAATTATGTGGGTTGTTCCTGGTCCCTCAGGGACTAGTTATTAAATAGCACCAGGTCTACAGGTGAGCAAGTATCTCAGATTTTGCAGGTCTGTTAGTTTCCCCAGCTTTTCTTTCCAGGTCAACTGAGTGGCTGACTGATCATTAGCATTTTTATGCCTTTTTTTCCTATCAGTCATCTCCTAATTGTTGGTTCCATAAACTTTGTTTCCCAAAATTTGTAAAGCACAACTTGAATAAACACATAAATGATCTTTTCCCCCTCGCTTTGCCCCTCCCCTCCCAGGAGGTAGTGTTTGAAAGTTCATCTCCCCACCAGCAGGTGTCTCCATTCAGCAGTTTCTCCTGACTCTTTGGTCAATTCAAAATTTCACCAAGCTTTTTCTGTACTTGGTTCTTCCGAAATCCTCCCTCTTTTCTCGCAGTTGCAGATATAACTGGCAGTCCCTTTTATAGGAGACAAGTCTGTAAACTAGTTGTGTTCAGCTCTCCAACATCCAGTAATTGAAATAAATTTTATATCTTTTAAAAACACTGAGGGTAATAATTAGTGGTCAAAATGGTTCAAGTGTTACTAAAGTTGCACAAAGGGATTTTTTACATGTTAATGTTTTAAAGCCATTTCAAATAATCTATTCCCTCCCCTAACAGTGGGAGGTGTAAATGGAAGTGTCAAGTTAGTGCTTCAAATTAAGATGTGGATTTTGAGAATCCCACTGATACACAGTAAACCTAGGTCAGAGCCTATTTGATTTCCTTTTTTGTGTCTTAAGGCAATAAGAAGAAAAGGTTAGAAGACTGTCCATGTAATTACTTACACAGAGATAATAAGGTGGCGTTCTGAGCCTGTACTGGACTGTGCTAATCGCTCATCTCTCTGGGCTTTTACCATTTGTGGAATTAGTTAAACAGGCAGGAAATTGTGACTAAACCAGTGAATCAGCATGTAGCATGAGGCCAGTTCATTTCATGTTTATATCACTCAATTTCCTCTTCACTAATTTAGCTCATGGTATAAGGCAGAACTTTATCTCCAAATACTACTTGTATCTTCCAGGACTTTAAAAGAATTTTTTGAGTGCATAAGAGCCAACTGAATATTAATTACCTTCAGAGGATTTATTAAAAATGTCTGTGAAGGAGTATTTGTACTTAATGACTGGGCCTCTTTACTGACTCCAGCCCTCCTCCCCAGTACCTTTTTTAAACATACTCCACAAGTCTTACCTGCCTTTATTGTTTCTTCCAGTAAACAAGCAGTCCTTGCTTATTGGGGGGGATACCTTCTCATTTCTTTGCATTATTAATGACCCATGTAGTCAATGGATTTTTGCAACACTATCACTCAGTCACCTGTCAGTCATCTAAGGGACTTAGGCAGCTGCTGCTATTTGCCTGTACTATTTATCAAAATTGGTAAAATGGGTTTTGTTCTACCCTTTCTAAAGGTGGTGATTTTGCATTAAAAAAATTTTTCTCCTTTGTCCAAAACAGGATTTTTTTTACGTTATTTTTTCAATTTTTTAAATTAAGATATCCTTGATATACACTCTTGAAACACTGTGGTTACTACATTCACCCCATATTATCAAGTCCCCCCACACCCCATTGAAGTCACTGTCCATCAGTGTAGTAAGATGCCACAGAGTCACTACTTGTCTTCTCTGTGCTACTACATGTTAATGTTTTAAAGCCTTTTCAAATAGTTCAGTAAACACAACTGCCTTTGCCCTTCACCTTAGACCGTCCATGAAGACAGACACGTGTCCGTGCACCACCGGGTGATGTGTCTGCTTTACTCATTGTCTTTCTGGAGAGCCCACACTGTGACTCGAAGCCATCGTGGTTCCATTTAATGACGGTGTGTAATAATTTTTTCCAACTCTTAACATCTGGCATATTACCCAAAGTAGAATTCAAATATTCCTTTAGTGCCCTATTGTGGTTTTACTAAAATTCTGATTTTTTGTTTTTATTGTGCAAGTGATGCAAGGGGGCCTCATCCAATTTCTTTATTCCTTCGAGCTGAATACTCCAATAGTGCTCAAGCTTCCCCTCCTCTCCTGGAGCACAAGCTTCCTTTGCGCTACTCCACATATGAGACAAGAAAATTGGGTACTACTTTCAAAATCCCATTTGATAGCTCATCAGAAAAATGAGATACAACATAGCTTTGGGGTGCAGCTAAAGAAATGAAATTCTTAAAGAGAAGTTTACAGCTGTGCACCCTGACCTTAATGCAGTGGGGGCAGGCAAGGGAGGAAATACATGACGTGGGGAATGGAGAAAAATCCACGAAGCCAAAAATTTAGGATAAAATGGACAGAAATGATGGTAAGACTTGAATCTGGCGTCAGCTACTGTCTAAGAAGGAACATGCCTGAAAAATGATAAAAATGGAAAACTTTGGGACAAAGTATATGCTATTTTGTAACACAAGATTATTCAAATGAAATAAATGTGCACAAACATCCACAGATACCTCACCTTCTTAATGCTCCCCAAAATAGAAGAAGGAACACTTTCTATGAGGCCAGTAAGATGCATTCTAGAGTTAGCACCCCAGGTCCTGTGGGTCCCCCTGCCTGCAGGGCCAGTGTGGTGGCCGGGCTGGTCCTGGTGGTTCTGAGATGATCACAGAATGTGTACTTCAGCCAAAAACCATCATGGAACTTTGGGAAAAAGACCCCTATATCTATGGGTCCTGGAAGTGTGTGTGCCAGGGCACAGGCACAGACAGACCGGGGTCTTAAGTTAGGGGGTTCAGGGTTCACTCTTTACAGGTGTTAAGGCACAGGTGTTAAGACACTGGAAATGGTGATGTCAGGTACTCTGGGAGAAGGGGGGAGTTCCCTCCCTGGGCCAAGTTTTCCACGAACTTGGTTGGGACCAAAGGGAGGCAAAAAGTTGGGGGATTTTTTGGAGCAAAAAGATGGAAGGGTTTCTTCTCCTGGCTCAGCCTCTCCTGGCTCACACAGCGGCTCTCCTGCACCGCCTGGGACCCCATCACGCACAGCTCCAAGCCCCCTCTCTGCACTCACACACAGCTCTGAACCCTGGCTGCCTGGCTCTCCTACCAGCCCTGTACTCAGCCCCCCTCTTGCACTGGGAGGAACTCCGTGGGCAGGTCCCCATGTGGGCATGACCACAACATCCCGGCAACAGAGAGGAGAGCATGGGTGTGTCCTCTCCACTCCCACACTGGGGCGGTACTCCCACGACTGACCAGTGGCTTTGTCCCTGGTAAACATCCGTAAATGTGCAGAGCACACTCTTACTAACATACACACAGGGGTGCTATTAAGGCCAGGCGGGAATCCTGGTCAGCAAGTTCCATTTTCCCACAGGGTAATCTACTTTCCTTATGGTTGTTTTTGCCAGGGTATGAGATGAATGTGGTCTGCAATGGATGCCTTTATGCTGTAATGTCCTGATACCCAAACCAGACAAAGACACGTCCCAGGAAAACTACGGCCATCTCTATGAACATGGATAAAAACCCCTCCACGACTGAATCCAGTGACATATATATTAAAAAGGTTGTACATTATGGTTAGGCAGTATTTAAATGCAATTAAGGCACATTACATCAGTAGGTTTAAAAATCCATCACCTCTGTGGGCAGAAGAAAGCATCTGACGGAAGTCCAATCCCATACATTAAAACAATCAACAAACCGCAAGTAGAGGGAACATCCTCAGCCAAATTAAGGACACTAATGAAACACCTCAGCTTACCCAGCTTCTTAAGTGGTGAAGTAGGGGATGTGCCCCCCCAAGACCAAGAAAAAGGCTGGGAGGGGAATCTCTGCTGTTGCTCTTTGTTGGCACTTCTAGTCAACACAGCAGGCAGGTAACTAGGCAGGAGAGGATTGGGAAAGAAGAGAAGTAAAAGTATCACTATTCAGTCACAACATGGTCTCCGAGCTAGGAAATACGAGGAACTGATGAGTTCAGCAAAGTTGAACATGAGACAAAGTCAGTGTTCCTGTTATATTTGCTATGAAATGACCTAAAAGAGAGGAAAAAAGACAAAAGAACTGAGGGGACAGGATGAGGTGACCTCTGGGACAGCAGATCCAGGTTACATGGCACCTTCTTCCAGCACAAGCAGCGGTCACCTCCCCGACCAGACCAGGGCTGTGAAACACAACTGCTCTGGTTCTCGGTGGGAGTCATAGTGTCAAGGCCCCAGTGGCCACTGTGGTGTGTGAGCAGGGAGATTATTTCTACACTTTGAAAAGACCATGTTTCTTGTGTGCAAATTCCCAGCAACTACTGGGCAATATTAACTCAGCATATTCATGCTGCTCCAGCACTCTCTCTACCCATTACATGTCAGCCCTGTATTATCCTAATCAGTTTACATAATTCTAAGTAATTTTCTCAATATTGCAACAAATGTTGCATATCTGGTTTTCCAAATAAAACCACGTATCAAATATGTATTTTCAGTTTTGCTGACAAGATGGTAAAATTATAAAACTGGTTTAGGAGGGACTTTTTTTTTTTATAAGCACAACTTGTTTAATTATATTTGCAGATAATTTTAAATAATCCAACACTTACTATGTTGTTTTCATCATATCTTTTACTATAGCACTGAAATTATGAAAGACTCCTCCTCAGAGAGGGTTAGAAATGGACTCTGATTCTGAGATTATGGAACTTTATGGTTTTATTGATATATGGGATTCTAAGTAAACAGTCCAATAATACAGACATAATCCAGTACTACTGGAGGGCTAGGTTATTAGACAAGAACAGCCACAGAGGAGGAGGAAAAGGAGTCTTAGGGCTTCATCACACATCTGTCACACATTCTCAAGAAATGGGTAAGCAAATTGTGGTATGTCATACATACAGCACTTATTCAGTAACAAAAATTCATATAAGCAATCTTAATCTCAAAAAAAATTACACAGCATGAAGCTTTAAAAAGCAAACATTTTAGGATTTTTCTGTTACTGTGAGAGAAGTCAAGTCATAGTTACCTGGAGGTCAGGTGAGATAAGAGAGAGACTAAAAGAGCTCAGGATAGATACAATGTAAGAAATTGCATTATCAGAATTTTGATGGTTTCAAACTACTCATATGGTAAACGTGCAGTTTGCACGTAACTCGTTCAAATAGAAGGTTAGATTGATTCCATCTGTCTCTCGTGTTCTACATCAAGGATTGGAACTATTAATGAACAAGATGATTGTGGGTCACACACACTCCATCCGTGGACCTGAGGACCTCTCTCTCACCTATCCTTTCTTGTCTATGTAGCAATTAGATTCTAAGAATAAACAAAGCTTTCTTTTGAAAAACGGCCTAAAGTACAGGAAGAACACAGGTAAATACATACTCTTTCCACAGAGCCACATCCGCTCTAGTTGCCGTTCTCCACCATTATCATCCAGTGTTTCTGCACAAGTTACGGTTTCAGCCTGGCCCCTGTAGTCTTACAACCAGCGACACCAAAAAAACCCAAACTGCACACATGAAGGCACATGATTCCTTTGCAGTACCCTGGGGAACAGCATCCCCACACAATAGTGCTCAGCACTTATGAAACTACTTTCTATTTGTGGAAGCACCAGAGGGTTGCCATGACAAATACACCCTCATCCAGGTGACCTCTTGGTCCACAGAAATCCTGGTATCTGGGCCAGAAATTAGAACAAAGCCCTGTGGTGCTTTTTCCTTTCTCCTAGGAGGCCTTGGGCAACAATGCAAGACAGAGAACTGGTAAATGGTAAATCTTTTCAAACTGCAGACCATGCCCTGAATGCAGCTACTCTGAAGGCTACTACTTTGTAATGTTCTCCAGGGAACGGGAGAGAGAACAAGACATCTGCCTTGCCTGATCATACAGGAGTGGCCGAAAGAACCTGTTAAGTGTTAAAGAGGTGAGGTGGCCTATAAAAGGCTCCTGAAAGATTCCCATACTCCTAGAACTTAAGGGGGATCCTCGCTGTGGCTGTTCAAGAGGCAGGAGGCTCAACTTCAAGCAAGATGGCTCCCTCACAAAGATGCCCTAGCTCTATTATGTATGCTGAACAAAGACATCCCATGCTCCCTGCAGGACTGTGGCCTCTCCTCTGTTTGGACTCTGGAGCCAAACAAGGTTAGACCTTTAGATGAAATGAAGACTTTTCCATTGTTTGTTAAAGTACAGTGGTTGTGAAGTCTTCCTTCATATGGAATTCCTCCCACACTTGTCACATTGATGAGGTCACCTGGTATGAAGCTTTCTGTGCTGAATGATGTGGGAGCTTTGGCTGAAGGACTTCCCACACTCCCCACACTCATAAGGCTTTTCTCCTGTGTGAACTCTGCGGTGCTGAATGAGATTGGACTTTTGGCTAAAGGATTTCTCACACTCATCACACTTATAAGGTCTGGCTCCAGTGTGAATTCTCTGGTGCTGATTGAGAGTAGAGCGGTGGCTGAAGGATTTCCCACATTCCCCACACTCATAAGGCCTTTCTCCAGTGTGGATTCGCAGGTGCTGAACAAGTTTGCATTTGTAGCTGAAGGATTTGCCACATTCACTGCATTTATAAGGCCGTGCTCCACTGTGAATTTTCTGGTGTTGAATGAGGTTGGAGCTTTGGCTGAAGGAATTCCCACATTCACCACACTTATAAGGCCTGGCTCCGGTGTGAACTCTCTGGTGTTTAATGAGCGTAGAACTGTAGCTAAAGGATTTTCTACACTCCCCACACTCATACGGCCTTACTCTAGTGTGGATTTGCAGGTGCTGAACGAGCCTGAATTTGAAGCTGAAGGCTTTCCCACATTCACTGCACTTATAAGGCCGTGCCCCACTGTGAATTCTGTGGTGTTGAATCAGGTTGTAGCTTTGGCTAAAAGATTTCCCACAGTCACTGCACTCATAGGACCTGGCTTCTGTGTGAGCATTCTGGCAATTACTAAGGATGGAACTTTGGTTAAAGGGTTTGTCACAGTTGTCACAGTCATAGTAGCTTCCTCTAGTGGGAATTTGCTGATGTTGGAAAAGTTTGTATTCGGAGCTGCTACAGTCACTGTACTTGTGATTCTCACCACCCTTGAAGCTGCTGTGGGGCTTTGCCCTCGCCCCTCTGAGAGTGGCCTGATGCTGGAGAAGACTCAGCATGGCCAGGAAGTCCTCCCCAATTTCCCGACAGGTGAAGGGCTTCTCTGATACGTGGAATTTGCAGCTTGTTCCTGATGAGGCCTTGTCTGTCCCAAATAATTTCTCATCGTTGCACTTCTGGTGCTGGTGAAAATTTGGAGTGAGCCAGAAATGGTCTCCACAGGCCTCACAGGTGTGTGATTTCAGCCCAGGATGGTGGCCCTGGTACTCAACCACACACAAAATGTCTCTCCTGAGCAGGACACACTTCTCACAGGGGTGAGTTTTCTGCACGGGTTGACCTGGATTTGGAGTCTTGTCCAATGCTGACAATTGTTCCACAGAAACACTCTGCACAGGAAATGTCTTCTCATTTTCCATTCCATACCAACAACCTGGAAAGCACAGAAAGGTTTGTGAAATGCATGTTGTCTTTGTGTGGGAGGGGGCAGCCTCACAAAGATGTGTGTCACACACATCACAGAATGAGGGCACAGAGGGCACTGGGATCAGGTTGATAAATTAGGGAGACTGCTTTGCAGCACAAAGACAAACAGGTCTTCTTTCTCTGCCCAAAGCCTACTGTGAGTGACACGTAAGTGCTGCACTGAAGTTTATGTCCCGGCCCAGGAATTTCTGGTGGCAACTGCCTCAATGGTGTTCAAAGACTATTTAAGGATGTGTGCACTGCTCAAAAGGCATTGTAAAAAGTAGGAAGGTGGGGGCAGACAAAGCTCACAAGTGAAAGTAGAAATGAGAAGCTAGGGATGTGTCAAGACTGGGGAAATGGGGAGAAAAGAGGGAAGGTAGAAAAGGAAGTGTGGGCACTGGCCTTAGCATCAACATGCTGGTGGACACAGCCCAGGTTATGGAGATGATGGGGTCACACCCTCCCCCAGCTGCCATTCACCAGGGTCAGGCTTCCTCTGAGCCCATCTTGCCATTGCTGGAGTAAGGTCTGTCCTGTAAAGCACCCAGGACTCCCTCCCTAAACTTCAGAAGAAAACTATATGGCCCCTGGATGATTCAAGTCCTAAGCTGGTATGACAGGACAGCTGAGGGGCTAGCACTGGCCCCGAGCAATTCTGCCCGAGAGACAATGGGAAAACAATCTTTAGAAGCAGCCCCTGGCTCTCAAAGGTAGTGTGACTGCAGCAACTGGCACAAACAGGAAGGAATGTGGGGAAATCTGGGCAAAACCCAGGCAGAGGTGCCATGGATATGGATACGGTTACCCAGAGCAAGGACAAGCAAGGAATGTGGGCTCACCAAGGAACACATTTTAGTTAGGGGTTGCAGGTTCAAGCCCATGGGCCACAGCACCTAGCCGGAGAACCAGGGCAAGAGGCAGTTCCTATAGTCCCAACGTGAGCACAGCCGCTGGGGAAGAAGGCGGTCTGCCCAGGGCCCCGGGGTGGTGTGAGAGTCTTACCCGGTGAGGTCACGAGTGCAAAGTTCTCCAGCATGACATCATGGTACAGGCATTTCTGAGTCTCCTCAAGGAGCCCCCACTCCTCCCAGGAGAAGTACACAACCACGTCCTCAAAGGTCACGCTGCCCTGGCACGATGGGGACAGATGAAACCACAGACAGCCCCTCTCCCAAGGACCCACAGTCCCACCCTCACACCATCACTGTCCTCCTCCCCAGCTCCTCGCTGGGATACCAGGCCCTGGTGCCACTGATGTCATTCTCTCCGCAGGTTCCAACTACTCCCCGGGTCCAGCCCTTAGCACTATGCCAGCAGGCAGATGGATATGATCTAAGGTTAAGGCCTGGCCTGCAGGGGCCTCACTAGCTTCTGGCCAAGCAATTCCCTTGGGAATCCACCGCGTATGTGCCAGGTACAACCAAATCTAATACCAATCAACTGGGTCATTGGGGCCTGAGCTCACACTCCTCCGTGTGTGCTCACACTCCTCCATGTGTGCTCACACTCCTCCATGTGCACATCCTGCTCACTAGTACCCCTCTTACATCTCACGGCCACCAGCTCCCTTTGCCTCCCAGGTTACCCATCACGTGGCAGCGAGAGCACCTGGCAGTCTAACAGGATCCTGGCACTACAACAGACCTGGGGCACCTCAGGTCCACTGTGAAGGCCTCTCAGCCACCCAGAACCACTGTGGATCTCAGATGCCCATGGCCCTGGTCCTTCAACAGTTACAACCCTTTTGTGTTTTCACCTACCCTCCTTTAAAACCCAGCACCAACTACCTTCTGTTTGGGTTTATTAAACTGCACTAATTTGTCAGGTCTACCATAAAGTACTACGAAGGGGGCAGAGCTTGAACAAAAATAACTTTGACAATTTTGGCCACTAAAGAATCATAATTAAGGCAGGTCTGGTTTCCTTTGTAGTTTCTCTCTGTGGCTTATAGTGACTGATAAATGGCTATTTCCCTGTCCTCTTCTTATAAGGATGCTAGTCACACTGGATCAGGGCACAGACTGATAAAACCTTATTTTACCTTATCTCTTGAAACACCCTAACTCCAAATAATTACATCCTGGGGTGCTGGCCATTAGTACTTCAATATGTAAGTTTTAGGGGAAAACAATTCAGCCTGTAACTCACAGATGCCTGAAACACCCCAGGCTCCACAAAAGGTCACCACGAAATTCTGATGGGATTCAAGCATGGTAAGCAGCACCCCCAGCCTCAGGGTCCACCTTGCCTCAATTACTCCCATGCGTCTGTATCTGTCCCATGTCCACTCTTTCATAGGCCTTGGCTGCCCACTAGATTATCCTCCATCTCCTCCTCTTTTACCACCACCCCTCTCCTCTACGTGACTGAGAGGCCACCTGTTCCCATCAGGTGCCCAAAAAGGAGGCCCAGACCCAGCACACCGCCTCTTCTTCCTGGCCTGACATTGCCACCGTGCTCTAATTGCCTTTCCTGAATCTGACGTAAAGCCTCTACCCAGTCCACACAGCAGCCACCACCCATATGAGTCTAATGCTGAACCTGCCTCGAATTTCTAGATTGCTCCATTCAGTATTTTCTGCAACATGTCAGACCCTTGACATGGCCAGAAATGAAACTCCCGACATCCTCAATGGCTATTACTCCCAATACTCATGTCAACAGCCCAGATAACGGAGCACGCACGCCTCAGCTGCCGAGGCAAACACCTTAAGGGATCATCCTGACTCTCCACATTAGAAAAACTTCTACTTCCATGGCCACAATTTACACCCATCTCAACCGGACTATTGTGGTAGCTTCCTCCTCAACTGCCCCAGTTCGTCCTCTGCAGCTAGACGGAACACATTTTATAAGGCCTGGGGATTACCACCGTACGATCCTATTCTCCTTTTGTTCCCACCACCTCCAAGATAGATGCCCAACATCTCATTAGGAGGAAACGGGCTTCTCTGAATACTTCCAGCTCAGCTTCATCTTCAGGCATTTTGCACCTTAGTGGTACCTGCGCCTATGACCTCATTTACCAAGTGCTGGAATTAACCTCCAGCCTAGGTCTGACATTTCACAAGGGTGCCAGACTCAAGGGCTGGGAGAATGGCTGGTGAACAGTCCCAGGCCACCACAATCTGGGATCCCCTTACACGTACAGGTTCCCAAAGTGCTCTGACACGGGAACCAGTGGGATGAGTCAGAGGCAGGCAACCATGGTGGGGCTGACTCGGTGGGCTCGTGTCTCCGCTCATCTCTGGAACCAGGAGACCTCACTCTGGCTTAAACTGTGCGATTCAGGCCTGAAGGCTGCCTCCCAGTATTAGCCATGTGACCTGCACGACAACTCAACCTCCCTGTGCCTGTAACCAACCCTCTCCAGTCTGTTCCTTTAAACAGCCATTTGGGAAACTTCTACATTCCTCAGATCGTATTTCCCCTTTGCTGAGGCCCTCCAAGGCTCCCAGGGCCCTCAGAATGAAGGTCGTCTGAGAGTCTGGCAATCTCGGGTTCAGGCGCTAAGTACCCCTCCCTGCCCTCCCAGCCCAGGAGAGATGACTGCACTGCCTCTGGCCTCAGTCCTCAGGGCTGACTCTCCCAACTCCGTCATCTTTGACAGGACTCAATCCTCCTATGCCTGACTTCCACCATCTCGCTGCCAGCCTGTTCTTTCTGGATCACTTTCAGAACCCTGTCCCACAATGTCCCTGCTGTGTTCGCAGCCTTCCGTGTCTGCCAGGACACCCAGAATGGAGGCACAACGAACCCCCCGCCCACCAGTCCCGGCGCGCCTCCGCCTCCCAGGGCTCCCTGCGGGCGGAAGGCCGACCCAGGTTCCCCCGATGCCCGAGTCCTCCCGACCTCCGCGCGCGGATCCCCCCCCACCCCCGCCTATAACCTGCCCCACGCGCCGTCACACTGGCGCTCAGGACACGGGCCCAGCCCACGAGAGCCTCTCCGTCCCGGACCGCGAGCAGGGCCCGCACTCGGGACCCAAAGGTGGGTGGGGGCGGGAGGCCCGGGGACGGGCAGGTACCTGGGCCGGGCCGCTCAGGGCCGCCGCCATCGGCCTCTGTGGGCGCAGTGGGGCCCGGAGCTGCCCAGGGGTCTGGTCCCGCCTCTGTGTGGTCTGGACTCCTCCTCTTGTGCCAACTTGGTCCAGCCCCCTCGGTCCTGACCCAGCACTCCCCGGCCGCCGTGCAGAAAACGGGCCAGAGGGCAGTCACGTGGATGCCTGAAGTCCCGCCCTGAAGCGATGGCACACACGCAAACACCCCTTTCCTGGACCTTCATTGGCTCCACACTGACGTCGCGCTGCGTAAGGTCCTCTGGGCAACACAGTTCTCACAGCTCCATAGGCCCGGGCGAAGGGTGGCCCGCATGGGAAGGTCCTGGCTCGGATGGCTGGGGAGGGGCCTTGCTCCTTCCTAGGAGGCCATGTCTGGATTCCTCAGGGGTTGCCTGCAACTGATCACTTGTGTTTAGAGCCTGTTCCTGGAGGCTACGCTATTTCAGATGCCCCCAAACATTACAAATGAACATGACATTTCAACAGGAGCTGGGAGCTAATAACCCTTTATCTTGATGCTTCTCCTATGTAGCGGCATCCCATCTTGTAGCTTCAGGTGTCTGTGAGTTTCAGGACATTGCTCAGGGACAAGAGATTAAAAAAAGACCTCTGCAGGAAGCTCGGAAGAAGGTGACCTCACCTGTTGTACTTTTTTCCAACATCTGAAAGCAGGTGCTATGAGTCGGACCCTGACACAGGGAGAACCTACAACATGCTTGAGGAAAATGGAAATGGTTCTAAAGGTTTCAAGATCTAATCACGATGCACTTACTACTATAGCTAAGTCTTGGATTCTTAAGAGAACTACAAGGTTAAAGTACAAAGTTCTAACCTGAATTCCACCAAGTTTTAGATCCACCAAGTTACGGGAATGCGGACACTCCATGATGGCATGTGCGCTCACTAGCTTATACAGCTTCTGATGCCGAGCCTTTTTGTTTTCTTTTGCGAACTTGAACTCACTAACAGACTCGGATAGGGGGATACTCATGCCAGGCCTGAGCACAGCGCACAGAGATGGGAGCACTCTGAAGTGTGCTCGCTCCTGTGCGCAGGTCGTTCAGACTTACTGAGTTTATCTGAATTAAAGTAGTGAATAAAACTTATCTGTTCAGTGAGCTTAAGTAAGTGAAGATAATCTTCAAAGATGCTTTGAGGTACTTACTCCTGAACTGGGTTGCCAAAGATCATACTTACTCTCTGAAAATTATTCTAAGTTTCTCTGACAGTACCATGTACACTGAGCACCCAGGAAGGAACGAACTCTCTTGCAAATGCATGTGTGAGTGGACCACCACATATTTATTAAAAAGTACAAAGGCATCTCCTTTATATGAGATTCCTTGAAAAATACAACAGGTGTACCCAGGATAACTTTTGGGCTCTTAAATTAGGAAACATTGTAAAGGTCGTATTGCCTGTGGAAGTGACTAACAGGTCTGATGGCGCCGGGTGATGGAGCCATTCGAAAGGCTACCGAGGCGAGTCGCTGCTCATGAAGACCCCAGGGAAGACATGCAGATTCTCAATCACAGAAGAGAGCCTCGCTCAGGAAGAAAAAGACAGTTGTACAAGAAATATAGGCATACCTCATTTTATTGTGCTTTGCCAATTTTTTTTTTTACGCATTAAATGTTTGTGGCAACTCTTTAGCATCACCTTTCCAACAGCATCTGCTCACTTCCTATTTGACATGGTGATACGTGATCCTGGATATTACTAGTGTGATTTTCTGACGCTGCCACAAAGATGCCCACCTAAGGTGGCTTACTTAACTGATAAATGTCACATTCTGACCACACCCAGCAGCCACTCCTCAGGCTCCTTACCTGTGAGATTCATACTTAGGCCGGCCCTGCAACGGCGTCTGAGTGAGCAAAAGGAAGAGGCACACACCTCTTTAGGTCAAAGCTATAAATCATTAGGTTTAGTGAGGAACGCATGTCTAGTGCCGAGGCAGGCCAAAAACTAGCCTCTTGCACCAAACAGCCAACACGTGACTGCAAAGTTCTTGAAAGAACTGAAAAGGGCTACTCCAGTATACTCAAAATGAAAAAGGCAGAACAGCTTTATTGCTGATACGGAGAAAGTTTCAGTGGTGTGGAGAGATCAAACCAGCCGCACTACTTCCCTTGGGCCAAACCGTATCCAGAGCAAGGTCCCAACCCGCTTCAATTCTGTGAAGGCTGAGAGAGATGAGGAGGCTGCACAAGATGGGTGTGAAGTTAGCAGAGCCATGTTCACGAACTTGAAAGAAAGGAGCCATCTCCAAAACATTAAAAGTCCAAGACAAGCAGCAAGCACGGATGTAGACACTGCAGCAAGTTGTCTAGAGGAGCTAGCAAAGATAATTAACAAAGGTGGCCACACTAAGCAACAGATTTTCAATGTAGACTCAACAGCCTTACTTTGGAAGATGCCATCTAGACCTTTCATAGGTAGAGTGCAAGTCAGTACCTGGCTTCAAAAGACAGGCTGAACTCTTGTTAGGGACTAACGCACCCTTAAGGCAACTTCAAGGTGAAGACAATGCTCACTGACCATTTCAAAAACCCAAGGGGCCTTCAGAATCACACTAAATCTACTGTACCTGTGCTCTGTCACTGAAACAACAAAGACTGGATGACAGCACATCCATTTACAATGTGGTTTACTTAGTATTTTAAGCCCTACTCAGACTTGCCGCTCAGAAGAGAGAGATTCCTTCCAAAAACGTTGACTGCTCACTGACAATGCACCTGGTCACCCAAGAGCACCGATGAGATCTACAATGAGAACGTTGTTTCCATGCCTGCTGACACCACGCATCCTGCAGCCCCATGGATCAAGGAGTCATTCCGTCCCTCACGTGTTGTTCTCTATGAAACACAGTTCTCAAGGTCACTGCCATAGACCGTGGTTCCTCTGATGGATCAGGGCAAAGTGAATCGGAATCCTTCTGGATTCAACATGAACAGCAGTTTGGAAGAACTTGACTCCAACCCTCGTGGAGAACACACCGAGGGGTTCAAGGCTTCGGTGGAGGGAGTAGCAGCAGGTGTGGTGGGAAAGGCAAGAGAACTAGAGTCAGCAATTCTGAGGATATGTGGCTGGACTGCTGCCAAGTTCACGAGAACCTTCGACAGAGGAGGAGCCGCTTCTTATGGGTGAGCAAAGAAGGTGGTTTCCTGGGATGAAATCTACTGGTGGACATGCTGTGAAGATTGTTAAAATGACAACAAAGGATTTAAAAGCTACATAAGCTCAGGTGATTAAGCAGTGGCAGGGTTTGAGTGGATTGTCTCCAATTGTTAAGAAAGCTCAACTGTGGAAAAAATGCTATCTAACAGCACTGCAGGCTAGAGAAATTGTTCAGAAAGGAGTCAATCAAATTGGCAAACGCTGTTTCTTATTTTGAGAACTTGCCACAGCTACCCCAACCTTCAGTAGCCATCAACATTGAGGCAAGAACCTCTACCAAGAAGATTATGACACACTGACTTGTCAAGCAGATGCTAGCATCTTTTTAGCAATAATTAGCAATTAAGTATTTTTAAGGTAAGGCACGTACATTTCCTAAGAAACAATGCAATTGCACACTTAACAGCCTATAGTGTAAACAGAATTTTTATATGCACTGGGGAACCAATTCATGTGGTTTGCTTTAATTGTGATCTTCACTTTACGGCGGTAGTCTGGGCCAGAACCTGCAATATCCTAAAGAAGGCCTGTAGCACTTCTGTTGAGTTTGGCAGAGGTCAGTGTAGGGAAGTGAGATATGCCGCTTTGACACGAGGATTATTTTAAACTACAGCAAATGACTTTCCAGAGCATCCCTTATCTTCTTAAAGAGCAGAAACCTTTGAGAAATGAGTGCTGGAGTGCTATTTCCTCTCCTGAACAAGATTTTTGGCCTTGAAGGAGACAAAGTGCTGAGACGCACCTGCACAAGCCTCAATCCATTGGTTTCCTCAAGCATTTACCTTCCACAGCTCCTAGTTTTTGCCCTGGGAAGTCTAAAATCCTCTAAAATCCTTTTGTCTTGGCCAATTCTCAACACATTTACTATTCTGTTGTTATGAAGCTACAAAGTCCAAGTTCTAACTACCCGTATCCATCACTGACAAAACAATGCAAGTGTTGATAGACCTTTTTTCTCATTAATCTGTCTTTTTTAAGTCTACTTTCCAGGGCCACAGCTGGAAAACCTAAGACTGGAGGAAATAAATGTTCTCATTCCTCCCCACACAAGTGACTTTATCATAATTTATCATTCATAGCAGCCATGTTACCTAATTATACTGGATACAAGTGCTATTTAGACAATTTAGACATTTATACTCGTCAAAGTCCACATGCATCTTCCCAACCCAGCATATTCTCAGTTCATTTTCCCTTCTCTTGAAACATTCTCCACTATGTTTACAAAATAAAAATAAGTACTTTGGGGGTTAGCTTTCTGTCAAACCTCCCCAAACCTGAAAAAGCCACATATTACATTTTCATGAAATTCTCTGAAATATCAACATTACACAATTTGTTGTTGTTTTTAACCATTCAATACTGAATGCAGAATTCCTGGCAGATTAACTGGCATAGTTTATGAGACTACAAATGTAAAAAGAAAAACTTGGTACATTTGTGACTGAATGTTCCATAGAAACTTAGAACCCAGAGGCTGTATTTGGAAAAAGATGCTTTCCTTGCCCAATAGGCAAAGCAGAACCTACAGATGCAGTTGTGTCTAGTGCTAATGGGCACAAAGGAACAGCTGCTGAGAAACGGGAAGGCACAGGCGTTCTTCAGCCAATGGCTTGCGTTCACAAATCAGAGCTCTCCAAAAGGACAAACCAGGAGTGAAGGAGTAAACAGAGCCAAACACGCTCACCAGAATCAGAATCGTGCATCTACTGTGGCTTCACAGGAAGGTCCAGAAGGTAGTCTTGTGGAGAATGTACTGGACTCACTGTTTGTATCTATAAAGAACAGACAAATGTGAGTCATTAGCCCAGAACGTCAAGCTCAAACACATTACATCAATACTATAGATGCTAACTATATTGCCAATTTTTTTTGCCTAAACCTCTCTATCTGGAATATCCCAAGAAAATATGCCTGGAAACTACTCAGGATGCAAGTCATAACAGGGGGATAGTGCCGTGCCCATTCTGTGTTACATTCAGCAACATTAAATCCAAACTGCCAGTGGTAAATGATCCCTTCAGAGAAAGAACCAACGTGTCAGCAAACCACAACTGATCCACATCTGCGGATCTCAACATCCGCTCGTTTGAGATGTAAAGAGTAAAGGAAGGATTTTTCAATGATACCAACTCCATTCTGAGTAGGAAGATAATACCCGTATGTAAGAACAGGAACCACTTAATGGGTATGTTAAGAGGCTAGTGTTACTTGAATCAGAGCAAGTAACAAAGAAAGAATACGAGGTCATTATAAGGTCATTATCATCACAACAGAAATCTCCTTGACTCACACATCAAACTTTCGGTTTTAAAATAGGTCTTTCACTGACAAAGCGATCTTGTGTAGTTGTACAATGAAGATTACAATCAACCATCTGTCAGTGAATTTATCAGGCTGCACCCATTTCCGATGGAGCACTGGGCAACTGGATGGAATCAATGTTTTCTCCACTATTGGAACCTTCATATCGTAATTTTAATTTTTAAAAACGATCAAAATATATACGCAGTTAGCTGTTTTCTCCTAAAAATGGGAAGTTAATTTGTGTTTACTAAACTCCTTTGAATATATATTTTGTTGTATTAGAATTAAGTCAGTAGTATGGAGGTTCCTCAAAAAACTCAAAATAGAAATACCATTTGACCCAGGAATTCCACTCCTAGGAATTTACGCTAAGAATGCAGGAGGAGTCCAGTTTCAAAAAGACATATGCACCCCTGTTTTCGCAGCGCTATTTACAATAGCCAAGAAATGGAAGCCACCTAAGTGTCCATCAGTAGATGAATGGATAAAGAAGATGTGGTACATATACACAATGGAATATTATTCAGCTATAAGAAAACAAATCCTACCACTTACAACAACATGGGTGGAGCTAGAGGGTATTATGCTCAGTGAAATAAGCCAGGCGGAAAAAGACAAATACCAAATGATTTCACTCATCTGTGGAGTATAAGAACAAAGAAAAAACTGAAGGAACAAAACGGCAGCAGACTCACAGAACCCAAGAATGGACTAACAGTTACCAAAGGGAAAGGGACTGGGGTGGGTGAGTGGGAAGGGAAGGAGAAGGGGAATAAGGGACAATAAGATTAGCACACATAACGCAGGGGTCGGGGCACAGGGAAGGCAGTATGACACAGAGAAGTAGTAACTCTACAGCATCTTACTATGCTGATGGACAGTGACTGTAATGGGGTATGCGGTGGGGACTTGATAATGGGGGAATCTAGTAACCACAATGTCACTCATGTGATTGTATTAAAAAAAGAAATACTATACAACCCAGTAATTCCACTTCTGAATATTTACCCAAAGAAAACAAACACTAACTCAAAAAGATATATGCTTCCCTATGTCTGTGGCAGCATTATATACAATAACCAATATATGTAAGCAATCTAAGTGTCCACCTACAGATGAATGGATAAAAAAAATTTGAGATCTAGCTATATGTATCTATATACACACACATATACAATACACATACACACACACACACACACACACACACACACACACACACACAAATATTACTCAGCTATAAAAAAGAATGAGATCTTGCCTTTCACAAACATGGATGGACCTAGAAAGGTTAATGTTAAGTCCAAGTCAAAGACAAATACAGTATGATTTGCCTTACATATGGAATTTTAAAAATAAAATGAACAAAAAGATTCATAGGGAAAAAGCTGGTAGTTGCCATAAGAGGGACAGGGTGGATTTTAATTAAGTGTAGGGGATTAAGAGACACAAACTTCCAGTTACAAATTAAATAAGTGTGGGGATGAAAGGTACAACACAGGAAATGCAATCAATATTGCTGTAACTCTGGTGACAGATGATAACTACACTTACAGCGGTGAGCATTTTGTAATGTATGTAAATTGTCAAATCACTCTATTGTACCCGACTAATATTGTATGTAAACTATAGCTCAATTATTAAAAAAAAAACAAAAAAAGAGACACCAGTACACTTGCTGTTCCCCTTTCTACCATGTTAAGACACAACGAGGTGGCGGGCACAAGGCCGCCACCTGCAAAACAAGAGTTCTCAGCAGGAACCAAGTCAGTGGGCGCCTTGATCTTAGACTTCCTTCCCTGCTTCCAGAAATGTGAGAAATAAATTTCTGTTCTTTAAGCCACCCAGTCTATGATATTTTGTTATATAAGATTAAGACAAATTCCTTTTTATTTCTGAGTAGTATTCCATTACATTGATACAGTACAATTTGTTTATCCATTCAGCTATTTTTGAGCAACTTTTGGATTCTTTCCCCTCTTTTGCTGTTAGAAATAAAGCTGCTTGAAACATTTATGTACAAGTCTTTGTATAAACATATGCCTTTTATTTCCTTTGGATAAACACCTAGGAATGGGACGGCTGGGTTGTAGGAAAGAAGCCGTGTAACTTTTTAAAAAAACTTCCAAACTGCTTTCTAAAGTGGAATGGCACTAAGAGTCCCAGGATACCACGATACAGTGGGGCTACACACCGGTGAAGGGCTGGGACACCTTACACTTACCTGTGCAGGTTCCATTAAGCCCTTCGCAGACATGTTTTAATGGAGAGGTTACAGCTAAATACAATCACGTCAGGCTCGGACGGGTTCAGGTCCGTGTGAACCCGTGCCTGGCCCTTGAGCCAAGTGAACTGGGGCTGGATGTCTGACCTCTGTGCCTTGGTGCTTCACCTTGCTAGCTCTGGGTCCCTGAACTAAGATTCAACCTCCTAGTGCCTCAACGACTTCATCACTCTTCAGTCTGTTCCGTTGAACAGCCTTTGGGAAACCTTTAAAACCTTACTGCAGTGTACCCCCTTTGTTTAAAAATTTCCATAGCTTCTAGAATCCTGACAATGTAGTTAGAACCCTCAGCCTGCTATTTTGGGTGTGACTCCGCCTCAAATTGATCCTCAGAGGCACAACGGACCCCAACTTTCCCAGATATTCCCAGCTCAGTCGCACTTCCAAGCCTTTACACACTGCTGGTTCCTCTGCCTGTAATGAGACAGGGACCGTGGGTGTCACCTGCAAAACAAGAGTTCTCAGCAGGAACCAAGTCAGTGGGCGCCTTGATCTTAGACTTCCTTCCCTGCTTCCAGAAATGTGAGAAATAAATTTCTGTTCTTTAAGCCACCCAGTCTATGATATTTTGTTATATAAGATTAAGACAAATTCCTTTTTATTTCTGAGTAGTATTCCATTACATTGATACAGTACAATTTGTTTATCCATTCAGCTATTTTTGAGCAACTTTTGGATTCTTTCCCCTCTTTTGCTGTTAGAAATAAAGCTGCTTGAAACATTTATGTACAAGTCTTTGTATAAACATATGCCTTTTATTTCCTTTGGATAAACACCTAGGAATGGGACGGCTGGGTTGTAGGAAAGAAGCCGTGTAACTTTTTAAAAAAACTTCCAAACTGCTTTCTAAAGTGGAATGGCACTTAGAGAGTCCCAGGATACCACGATACAGTGGGGCTACACACCGGTGAAGGGCTGGGACACCTTACACTTACCTGTGCAGGTTCCATTAAGCCCTTCGCAGACATGTTTTAATGGAGAGGTTACAGCTAAATACAATCACGTCAGGCTCGGACGGGTTCAGGTCCGTGTGAACCCGTGCCTGGCCCTTGAGCCAAGTGAACTGGGGCTGGATGTCTGACCTCTGTGCCTTGGTGCTTCACCTTGCTAGCTCTGGGTCCCTGAACTAAGATTCAACCTCCTAGTGCCTCAACGACTTCATCACTCTTCAGTCTGTTCCGTTGAACAGCCTTTGGGAAACCTTTAAAACCTTACTGCAGTGTACCCCCTTTGTTTAAAAATTTCCATAGCTTCTAGAATCCTGACAATGTAGTTAGAACCCTCAGCCTGCTATTTTGGGTGTGACTCCGCCTCAAATTGATCCTCAGAGGCACAACGGACCCCAACTTTCCCAGATATTCCCAGCTCAGTCGCACTTCCAAGCCTTTACACACTGCTGGTTCCTCTGCCTGTAATGAGACAGGGACCGTGGGTGTAGTCAGAGCAGGGTTGGGGGGCCTCCGGAAAAAGCAAGGCAGGATATTTGCAGTCAGAGCAGTGTAACTACATACAAGGAAACCCCCTACCAAAACTCTGTTAAACATTCAGCTCTAGAGTCATTCTTCAGTGAGATCAGTTAATATTTCCCAGATAAAGAGTAGCACATTTTTATTATCCTTATCATTTGTAATCATGCATAAGATTCACTTTAGCATGCTAAAAGGCCCAGGCCTATGTGCTGTCTTTCCTCCTGATCTGATGAGGTTATTTGCAATCTGGGCAATTAATAATGGCAAGTAAGCCCAGCCATAAATAACATAGTAAATGGCAAAAAGGATTCCACCTTAAAGATAAGATTGCATTTTAATACCCAGAGAGTCAAGAAGATTCTTAACTTACTCTTCAGCTAACAATGCCTCAGCCCACCTTCGGGGCTGGGCAGGTGGCCTCGTTTGATCTGCTCCCAGACCAAGACGCCGGTATCTCAGGGAGAAATCAGAGCAGGCAGTTCCTTGTGCTCTTAATTTTAAATATTCAGGGACCACTTAACAAGCCCACACCCCTAAGCCTTTTTTCACGTTCTCAAAAATCCTTAAATGCCTATAAAACCCCGAGACAACGCACCACCCCGGGCTCTCCTGTCCCCTCCTGGCCGAGCCGGGGGCTCTGTCCTCCCCCTGGCTCTCCTACCTCGGGTGCCTGCTAAGTTCATTCTGGACTCCGCGAACAGTAATCCTCTCCCA